TTTTTTTTTCCTTTAGTTGTGATATGGGTAAAACTGTATTTTTAATGTGGAATAATTTCCTCTCCTGCTTTTCTGAGGTTATGTGTTGTCTGTCTTTTTATTTTCGGAGCATCTCACTAAGCCTAGCACAGAGTGGACATAAATGTATATGGAATGAATGAAGAATCAGTCTGTCCAGACTGCTTTGGATAGTCATACAGATGTTTTTTTTCAGGGTTGGATTATGTTATATTACTTTTTGTATACTAGAAAATTTTAATGTAAGAATCCTTCACTTGTACCGCATTCTTTCAATCAATAAACATTTCTTGAGCATGTAATATCTACCAGGTATTGTATTAGGCTCTGGGACAGCATTATAGCAAATCATCCATGTAAATAACTCAGGGTGGTTTATCTTATACATCTTATACAGATGTAATTTTAGCTAATGTAAATAAATGGGACATTTTGACATAGTGACTATACCTCACTGGCATATCTTTTTACTTTTGAGGTCCCCATGGAAACTATTGCCTTAGAATGGCATCCTTAGGTCCATGTCTGACAAGGAAGCAGATTTGGCTGAGAATGAGGAAGAGCTTTCTATAATTAGAACTTGGCATAATGGAAAGTGTGGGCTACATTTTTTTTTTTTTAATTTATTTATTTTTATTTGGGTGAAGATTTACAGAGCAAATTCACTTTCCATACAGCAGTCCACATATACTTTGTCTCATGTCATTGACCACAGTTTACCACAATGCAACAGCTCCCCTCCCACTTCCTCCCCATAGTTACCTCTTCCCAGTGTCCATCCCTCCGTACTCTCCTGCCCCCTGAGCTGTCTCCCTGTGCATAAGCAGCCTTTCTTTCTCCCATGATTGTTCTCTCCAGGGCGTGTGTCTACTTGAGGTAAATGTTTAACTCACATGCCTGTATTTTGTTTGGCTGGCAACCACAGGTGTGGGTTCAATTCCAGACCTGAAGGGCACCTAGGGGCCATAGTCTCAGTGCTTCCACCAGGCTCTATTGGACCAGCAGACCTGGTCCTCACCTTCTCTTTTTTTTTTCCCTCCAAATGATTTTGAATTTTGTTCCACATTGTTCTCCCTCTCTATCCAGGATCTCCTACATCCCTTCCAAGTGGATGACAGTGGTAGCCGGGCACCATCTAGTTCTTCTGGTCTCATAGTTGTATAGGTTGCAGATCGGATGGTGTACCAGTCACTAGGACTGATTGTTTCCATTAATTTTGGTTTTCTTCTTTCTTCTTTGCTCTTGACGAGGAGAGACCCATCGTTGCATCTAGATGGCAGCTTGCTAGCTTTTAAGATCCCAGTCGCTACTCGCCAAAGTAGGAGGTGGAACATTGTTTTATATAGTATGTTATGCCAATTGAGCTTGATGTCCCCTGCGACTATGGTCCCAAGCTGTGGGCTACATTTTGACATACTGCCTTTACTCTTTCTGGAAACATTCAGGCAAGGGTTGGATGATTGTACCAAGAGCATGAAATAAAGGATCCTTCATTGGATGAGTTGTAGTGTCAGATGATCGCTAAGGCAATCTCCAGTGCTGTAATCCTATTACTTTCAAAATGCTGGGAACAATGTACTCTAATTTCTTTCTTTCCTAAATAATCTCTTGAAGTTCTGTTGTTCTTTGATGACTCTATTTTATTAAATTTCATTTAGAAATAATTTTAGTTATTTTGAAATAATTTTATTCTTACAGAAAAGTTGCAAAAATAGTAAAGTTCCCATATACCCTTTATCTAGCTTTGTTTAATGTTAACATCTTATATAACAATGATTAGTTATGCAGTTATTGAATCTAGGGAATGAATGTTAATACAGTACTATTAACTAACCTACTTACATTATGTCAGTTTTACTAGTTGTCTTTATTAATGTCCTTTTTTTGAGTTGGGGATCCTGTCCAGGATCCCATATTACATTTAGTTGTCATATCTCCTTAGTTTCCTATAGTCTGGGTCCGTTTCTTAATCTTTTTTTTTTTTTTTTTTGTCTTTTTAAGACTGACACTTTTGTAAAGTACTGGCCAGTTGTTTATAGACTGTCTCTCAATACGGTTGGTTTGGTCTTTTCTCGTAATTTGATGGAGGTTATACACTTTTGGCAAAAGTGATGTTGATGTTCCCTTCTTAGTACATCATATTTTAGGGCATTTGACTGCTAGCCAGAAGGCTGGTGGTTCAAACCCACCAGCCATTCCTTGGAAGGAAGATTGGGTAGTCTGCTTTCATAGAGATACCTCCTCGGAAACCCAACGAGTGGTCACTGTGAGTCAAGACAGACTCCAGGGCCCTGAGTTTGTTTTTTTGTATATGATGCCTATGTGTTTTATTTTTAGTTATGCTAACTTTAATTACTTGGTTAAGGTGGTATCTGTCAGGTTTCTCCACTATAAAGTTACTGGTTTTTCTTTGCAGTTAATAGGAATTTTGTGAGGATATAACTTTGAGATGGGAGCTCTGGTAGCATAGTGGCAGTTCAGTCCCACCAGCCACTCCTTGGAAGGAAGATGGGGCAATCTACTTCTGTAGTAATACTGCCTTGGAAACCCAAGGAGGGGTCACTGTGAGTTGGATCTGACTCGACAGCACATAAAAACAACAAACAACAACAACTTTGAGATTATGCAACCATCATTTTTCTCATTATACTTTTGTGCATTAACTTTTAGCATCCATCAATGGTTCTTGTCTGCAGCTGTCATTATTGTAGTGTTTGCCTAATGGTGATTTTCTGTTTCCATCATTCCTACTACATTTATTGATTGGAATTCTGCTATAAGGAAGAACTGTCATTTCTCCCTGTTTATTTATTTAATCAGCTGTTTATATTAAATGGACTCATGGATATTTATTTTCTCCTGTGAGCTATAATCCATTATTTTCATTATTTATTTTGTTGATGTAATTG